GCCCGCCGGGTTTGCCTTGCCCTCCCCGGCCCGGCTGCGTCCCCTGCCGGAGGCTGAGGGAGGTCTGGACGAAAAACCCCGGTTCTTCTCATGCCTTGCTTGCCACTTGGTTTTCCCAGCTAAGCAAAAGAGAAATCTACCTTTAATTCTCCAGAACGGGGGTGTGCAGCATGATTGCCTGCTTCCTTAAAGTTACACTGGGACTCACACCAGGGCTGTGTTGCTTATTTGCTTTAAATTAATCAAATTAGTGAACTGGCAGGCATTGCAAGAACAACTGACTGTGTAGCGTTTTGTAGTGTTGAGTTGCACTTTGTCAGTGGAAAAAATGAAAAGCAATATAGATTGATGTCTATGGGTGTTCTGTTTTTCCTAGTACACCTATACCAGCTGGACATCACGGTGAAACAGGGGCGTAACAAGGTGCGGGAGATGTTCATGAAGAATGCCCATGTTACAGATCCACGGGTGATAGACATGCTGGTTATTAAGGTACAGACAAGTTATTTCTGTTTTGTTGAAGCTGCACAGAACATGAGAGTGGATAACTGGTGGTGAGTGTGATGGAGGAGAGAGACAGTTTTGTCTCAGCTTGCGCTATGGAGGAGTTGTCTCTTGCAATCCAGATTGTTTTATCTCTGTCAACAAACCTGTTGATAAGGGATCAAGCTGCTTTAGCATGCAGAGGGATAGAGTCTTAACTCACCTAAGTCAAGAGTTGCTAGAATACAGATTTCTGTCAGTCAGTGTACTGGCTCTTCCAGTTTGCGGATGTCTGAAAAAGGAAGTGTATGGCAAGCAAAATAGTAGTTTAAATACCTAAATGGTAAATATCTTAAAAAGGTAGTTTAAATACAGTGGCAGTCAAAGAAAGGAGAAAAAGATGCTGCTAGCTAGTTTACCATTAAAAATGACCGTTCTGCTCCCTACAGTACTTCCTTAGATTAGGATGTGGTTTTCTTCGCCAATTCTAAAACATAACGCTAGAGTGGCAGTACTTGGTGGGAGGCTGGCTTTGGGTGGCAAAACGCCCTAACTCTGTGACGCATCTGGTTATGTCTCAGGCCTGAGAGACCTGCCGGTGCAAAGCAACAGTCAGCATACCAGGAGTAGGGCAAGGCTTCAAAATGGGTCTGAGCAATGATAACTGACCTCTGCAGTTCTAACGCATTAGAGAGCTTCCAACCAAAGACTGCTGTCCTTGCAGCAATGTTGTATGTCTTGCATTTCAAGGCAGTTAGTCTGTCTTTACAGGACGAAAAAAATCTGGCAACAGAATCCTAGATAATACAGTAGGTGACAATTCCAGGCAGTCTCATTTTGCCCTGTGCTGCTATCCTCCGAAACCAGTACAATAATTCATAGACTGGAGTCATGAAGAAGTTATGTGTAGTATCCCTCTGGTAGCAATGCTGGTACAAAGCACTTAGCAGTGATTTTACTTAGTTTTACAGTTAACTTGCCGCTATTAAAAAAAATTAAATAGAGGTGCATGAAAGTTAGGAATGTTATGTAGAATTTCACAGGATTGCTGGTCATGAGAGAAACAAGGCACATTCTAAGAAGGGGGCAGGGTTCCCTGCCTCTTCCCCAGGGCTGGGAAGCTGCACTGTAGGGACAAGCAACTTGTTAATATAGGCCATGAAGCAATAAAGTCACAAGGCATGAACAGTATATATATTTGTGTCACAGTATGGGTGATGCAGGCAGTCTTTAGGAGTACAGAATTGTTGATGCAGCTACCTTAAGGGTGTTTCTAAGTGCATTCAAATAACTTTCATAGGGCTGTAGTTAGACTTGGGCTCTAACTGAGGACTATTCTAAAATTCTTTTGTCTGTGTGCAGGGAAAAATGGATCTTCAAGAAACCATTCAGGTGTGGAAGCAGCGGACTCACATCATGAGGTATTTCCATGAGACGGAAACCCCACGACCCAAAGACTTTCTGTCCAAATTCTACGCGGGCCATGATCCCTGAGAGATTGATTCTGTGTCTTCCTGCCTCGTATTACAAATAAAGTTCTATATAGTAAATAAAAAAATCTGTACAGAAAGATTGCATAGCATATTAGGAGCCAAATGACTAGCTCTGAACTCTGCAAGCCATTGTGATCTGTACGAAGAGCTGTGATTTCCTGGCTTTTGCCAATGTATATTTTCAGTGGATGGAGTTTGTCCCATCACTTGCCCTGAAGTGTCTGCTGAATAACCACAACACAATCTGGCTGTGGGGCTTTCTGCCTAGCCTGCAGCCCTGTGCGTAGGTGTTAGCTCTCTGGAAGAAAGAGTGGAAAAGCCAGCGTAGTTGCAGAAACATTCTTGGGCTTGAGGCCCACCTGTATTGCTGCAGTGTTTTGCAATTTTGTGCTATGACTTTGTTGACCTTGTGGTTTTTTTCACTTGGACGCTGTTCTCTGTTTACTTCCTTGCAGAGAATGGTGTAAAATCCAATAGGCCAATGAAGCCCTTTGTGCAATAAAAAGATGAGCAGAGTCCATTTCCCTGCTGCAAAGTGAAATTATGTGGAAGAATGGGCGTTTGTACTGTTGCCTAGAATAGGGAGGCTCTGTAAGAGCTTCTGATGCTTAGCAGAAGGTGGTGTCCTATCATCACCTCCTTAACTGAATCAGGAATGAATTGCTTGCTTTTCAGCAGGGTAAGGAGAACTTGTTCTGACAGAACGTGTTTTCAGCAGGTAACTCGGTGCTGGAGCTCCCCCATGTGTGACCAGCAGTGAATCCTTGTAGTTCGCTCAAACTTCTTTTTATCCTGAATATTGGGGCCTTCTTTCTCCATATGAGGACTGTAAAGCAGCACTCCTTGAAGATGTGTACATATGGCCACCTAGGAACTTTGGAAGTGGGGTGTTTTTAAGGACAGAGTTGAAGAAGGAATGCAGCCAGGAAGGGGCCAGGAGAGATGGTGGGATAAAGCAGTGGTAAGCAGTGTGTCAGCATAGAAAACAGGAGCAGGGATGTGTTTGGCTGCCAGGAACAGATGAACTGAGCAACCGCTTCTTAGAAGGCCTCAGAAGGAGGGGCAACTCAGATACTGAGTGACTCAAGAACCTGCCAGCTGCCTTCAGCTACAGCTGTTGGGGTTACTCGGATTGCAGCCTCCCTTTTCTCTTGGCAGCTATGCTGGAGAGTTACAGAGCAAACATCAAAAGCAGTCCCAAATAATAAGGGAGAAAATGTGGCTGTTTGAACTATATGTTGTGCTAATGTGTGTGACAGAACAGCTGGTCTGATGTGACTTGAAATGCTACGCGTGCCCCGGCAGCAGAGAAGACCTTTTAAGTCTATTATGCAAGGATTTAATTGCAGTAGTAAAGACTTTGATGAAAAAAAGTGTTGAAGTTTACACACTGTTAAGAAAATAAATGTTTTAGGGCTTATAGAGAAGGAAGTACTGAACTACCTAGGAAATACGAGGTACTTGGAGCCAGAGCGTTGAGAGGTTTTCACTGTTCATAGATTAAATGCTGTAACACGCATCAGCAAGCTAGTTTGCCACTCCTGATCTTAACCTTTTACCAAACCCCCTCAAACCTTTTAGCTCTGCAAAGATAATACTGTATTTAATCCTCAGTGAGGTGAAATTAATGATAATGGTCTCTGTCAGACACACCTGCATAGTGCTGGGTTGTAAATGAACATCACCTGAAGTGCAGTGCCAGTGTCACTGTGAACTCTGTTCTTTAACAGGGCTGTGTTGTGAGGCTGCTGCTTCCTCTAGGATTCCTGTTGTGCTGTGGATGAGTACTGAAAGGACTCATAAGAGGAAATAAATATGAGGAGAGCCTCCTACTGGAACAGACATACGGAGGTAGAAAGGTTAATACAGAAATGCTAGGTTGTAGGCAGATAACCTATTAAAAACACAAGACCAAAGCCACGTATCTCAATCTCTTGATCTTTTAATTAAGTGTTTCTCGTACTGCTAATAAAAGGAATCCCAAGCAGTCTTTGATGAGGTGAGTGTGTGTGTGCGAGGATGCAGGGCCTATCAAGCACTTCCTTCAGCCCTGATGTACAGATTTCCGTCATACAGACACGTGCAGGGCACTCACTGGCAAAGGGGATGCAGAGCCCCCTGTCCCATTTAGGAAGGACAAAACACAGGTGACAGATGTTGGAACCATTGCTTTGTCAATGGTTTTCTCCCTTCTGTTCTTCCATTATAGTTCTGCAAATAGAATAATAAGCCGTTACTCTTCAGATATGCTGTGCTGAGCCGGTACCTGCTGCCCAAACCACGCAAGGTGGGGGGTTACATGAAAGGAGTTTCTAACAGGCTGTGGCAGTCTTTACCGTCTTTTAATTCTCTGTTTTTAGCTGCACACTGCCTGCTGGGAAATCCCTTTATCAAATGCAATACATCCACCAAACCGATTACAAAGCAACACTATTTACAACAACTTCTTTAAAATGTCTTCCTGGTCCTATGAAGAAATACTCCCAAACTCGAGTCTTTACACAAGGGCAAGGCAAATGGAATCATGTAAAATGGAGGAAAATGTAGCGTAGTGCACTGTAGATAAAGGTGACTTGTTTCTGCTCTTCCTTTATCCAATGAGTCTCAATGGTCCAGCTCCCCCAGGGGTCAGTGCTGTAACACCCACCTGACAGTTTGATGGGATGGGTTCTGGAGTTCTTTTAAACTTTTCACTTTATATCAGAATTTCATACAATGAGTGATTCTTTTTAAAAACAGTCATTCTGCGAGTTAGCAGAAGACTTTTAAACAGGTAAACATGTAATAACACGTAATAAACATGTAATAAGTCCCTCTTTTCTGTCTGCAGTATAGAACCTCACCGACTAGAGTTTATTTCTGATTAGAATGACATGACCTAAAACGCCAGCAGTTTATTAGGATCTCTAGCAAACGCAGGTTGTGGAGATTTCACATTCAGATACCAGCCTGGCCTACTCCAGGGATAAAGGCACCAAAAAGTCCGTAGCCAAATGGGGCTGTTTGAACTATATGTTGTGCTAATGTGTGTGACAGAACAGCTGGTCTGATGTGACTTGAAATGCTACGCGTGCCCCGGCAGCAGAGAAGACCTTTTAAGTCTATTATGCAAGGATTTAATTGCAGTAGTAAAGACTTTGATGAAAAAAAGTGTTGAAGTTTACACACTGTTAAGAAAATAAATGTTTTAGGGCTCATAGAGAAGGAAGTACTGAACTACCTAGGAAATACGAGGTACTTGGAGCCAGAGCGTTGAGAGGTTTTCACTGTTCATAGATTAAATGCTGTAACACGCATCAGCAAGCTAGTTTGCCACTCCTGATCTTAACCTTTTACCAAACCCCCTCAAACCTTTTAGCTCTGCAAAGATAATACTGTATTTAATCCTCAGTGAGGTGAAATTAATGATAATGGTCTCTGTCAGACACACCTGCATAGTGCTGGGTTGTAAATGAACATCACCTGAAGTGCAGTGCCAGTGTCACTGTGAACTCTGTTCTTTAACAGGGCTGTGTTGTGAGGCTGCTGCTTCCTCTAGGATTCCTGTTGTGCTGTGGATGAGTACTGAAAGGACTCATAAGAGGAAATAAATATGAGGAGAGCCTCCTACTGGAACAGACATACGGAGGTAGAAAGGTTAATACAGAAATGCTAGGTTGTAGGCAGATAACCTATTAAAAACACAAGACCAAAGCCACGTATCTCAATCTCTTGATCTTTTAATTAAGTGTTTCTCGTACTGCTAATAAAAGGAATCCCAAGCAGTCTTTGATGAGGTGAGTGTGTGTGTGCGAGGATGCAGGGCCTATCAAGCACTTCCTTCAGCCCTGATGTACAGATTTCCGTCATACAGACACGTGCAGGGCACTCACTGGCAAAGGGGATGCAGAGCCCCCTGTCCCATTTAGGAAGGACAAAACACAGGTGACAGATGTTGGAACCATTGCTTTGTCAATGGTTTTCTCCCTTCTGTTCTTCCATTATAGTTCTGCAAATAGAATAATAAGCCGTTACTCTTCAGATATGCTGTGCTGAGCCGGTACCTGCTGCCCAAACCACGCAAGGTGGGGGGTTACATGAAAGGAGTTTCTAACAGGCTGTGGCAGTCTTTACCGTCTTTTAATTCTCTGTTTTTAGCTGCACACTGCCTGCTGGGAAATCCCTTTATCAAATGCAATACATCCACCAAACCGATTACAAAGCAACACTATTTACAACAACTTCTTTAAAATGTCTTCCTGGTCCTATGAAGAAATACTCCCAAACTCGAGTCTTTACACAAGGGCAAGGCAAATGGAATCATGTAAAATGGAGGAAAATGTAGCGTAGTGCACTGTAGATAAAGGTGACTTGTTTCTGCTCTTCCTTTATCCAATGAGTCTCAATGGTCCAGCTCCCCCAGGGGTCAGTGCTGTAACACCCACCTGACAGTTTGATGGGATGGGTTCTGGAGTTCTTTTAAACTTTTCACTTTATATCAGAATTTCATACAATGAGTGATTCTTTTTAAAAACAGTCATTCTGCGAGTTAGCAGAAGACTTTTAAACAGGTAAACATGTAATAACACGTAATAAACATGTAATAAGTCCCTCTTTTCTGTCTGCAGTATAGAACCTCACCGACTATAGTTTATTTCTGATTAGAATGACATGACCTAAAACGCCAGCAGTTTATTAGGATCTCTAGCAAACGCAGGTTGTGGAGATTTCACATTCAGATACCAGCCTGGCCTACTCCAGGGATAAAGGCACCAAAAAGTCCGTAGCCAGAGGCAACAGGGCTGCAGGTGTCCGTGTGTTTAACTGCAACCGCACCTTTCAAGCGGTCGCCGTCTGTATTTCCTAGCCCGGGATTCTCCTCCCTGCCCCAAGCCAAACAGGAAGCACAAATAATTAGATTGCCGGTGATGTTAATGACAAACCCTTTAATCATCGTCGTCGTCATCCTCTGGGACAAAGATATCATGTTCTTCAAGTAGGGCTGCGAAGTTCTTGCTGATCTGAGTCCCGACGTACAGGAAAGGGATGACAACGCTGAACACTCTGAGGAGGCCGAAGGGCGTCTGCAAGGAGTCGGTTGGAAAAAAGACTGATCTTTACCAGCAAGCTGCACTCCGGCTGCACCTACCTACGCCCGGCTCCGCCGGCGGGCAGAGGGCCGGGCGAGCAGCGGGAAGAACGGGTTGGCGCCGCAGGGGCAAAAC